AAGCTCCTAACATGACATCAACTGGCTTGCAAACTTCCTGAAAATGTGATAATCAGCTTTCAAGAGTCAGTACTTAGCTCAAGCGTACCACTGAGTGTTTATATTTAAATAAGGAACAAAACCTTGAAGCCAAAAGAATGATTCTACACCAGAATTACTGGCCAGTGAGGCTCCAGAATTACTTTGAAGGGCAAAGAACCACTCCCAGTGTCTTCCACAAAAACAGGCACCACTCACGATGGCTATGCACAAAGCTGATCTGTGCTTCCGCAGGAGGTAGACTCCAGAGTCTGTTTACCCAGGGTGTGAGTCTGGGACCATCGGCGTCAGCATCCCCTGAGAGCTGGTCAGAAATGCCAAACCTCAGGCCCTACCACACACTTGCTGAATTAGAATCTGCATTTTAACAAGATCCCCAAGTGATCCGTATCAACACTACAGTTTGAAAAGCATAGCTATAGAATTCAACATAAGAGATATAAAGATAAAACCATTTTTATTCAAGAAAGCCCCCAACTGTGACGATCAGGTGATCTTTTGTATTTGGAAGCAATTCTTACCTTCCACAATCCTCTAGAAACGGCTTAACATTTCCACATTTTCCATTTCAACAATGGGGCATGGAGCAGTGACAAGTTCCTCCATCTCCACTCCCTCCCCCAGCCACAGGGCCACAAAGCCAGAGCTCTAAGATTCTGCATGAGGTAGAGAAATATAGATTCCTCAAGAGCTGCTATTCAAGCCATAAGCAGCATGTGCCAATGTTCCACCCACAATCCTGGTTCAGTCTCCATTAAGCTGCACATCTGGCTGTCACACACTCTTTTGTGGGGACATCTCAATGGTAGCACTGATGCTGCCTCTCTTCGAGGCCAGCCCTACAGTGGCCTCCCTGTCCTCTCAGCATGTGATGTCATGAGCATGAATGTCCTGCCAAACATTTAAGATGTTGCAGTTCACATTGTGTACATTGTATAGAGAAACACTGACATGCAGATTTCTTTTTAATTAAAAAAAAAAAAAAAAAAAAAAAAGCAGGGCAAGATACAACCAAACCTTGTTCTATTGTTAACCCAAACCAATTCAGCACAAATATGTAACTTGTATTCTTTAAGCACACAATCTTCTCTTTTTTATTACTGTCATTGTAACTAACATCCCTAGATTCAGAGATTGCCTTGAAACATTCTTTTCTCTCTAATTTGGTTTCTATCAAATTCTTGGAAAGCATGAGCCGGACTGTTTCATTTTCAAACCAAAAATCCCCTGCATGTGGTCTCTTCAGAACAGGCTAAAGAGAGAGAGTAAAGCATGGTGTGATTCTCAAAATCATCTCATCTCCAGTGACCATCAAACAGGAGACCCGGGAGGACATGGAGTCGCGCTTACAGAAAGGCTTGAGAAAGAAGTCCTTTTGTTTGCTGTTTCTCAAAGTGTAGTGTGGGGACTACCTTATAAGAATCACTGAGGGTACACAACAATAACGCAGATTCTTGGCTCCCCACCCTAATGAAGAGAGTGAATCTCTAGCTGTGATTCCTTTTTTTTTTTTTTTTAAGAGAAACGGAGTCTCGCTCTGTCGCCCAAGCTGGAGTACACTGGCGTGATCTCGCCTCCCAGGTTCAAGCGATTCTTCTGCCTTAGCCTCCCGAGTAGCCAGGACTACAGATGCAAGTTGCCACACCCAGCTAATTTATTTTGCACTTTAGTATAGACAGGGTTTCACCGTGTTGCCCAGGCTGGTCTTGAACCCCTGAGCTCAGGCAATCTGCCCCCCTCAGCCTCCCAAAGTGGTAGGATTCCAGGCATGGGCCACTGCGCCCAGTCCTAGCCATGATTCTTAAATTGGACAACTCGGGCTTTAGAGTTACATAGTCTTAAATCCCTTTTCGTTTACATAGTGGCTATATGATCTTGACAACCTAAACTCTCCACATGCTATTTTTCTCATCTATACAATAGGGACCATGGGGAGGATGAAATGTATGAAGCTCCTAACACATACAGGTCTCAATAGTGTGAATTCCCTTTGCCCTGTTACTTAGACAGAGTACTTTAAGCCTGCCATTTTACACGTGATTGGGGGCCATTGCCTTCACCTAGGTGAACATTTATTATAATTATTCAATAAATTATAATTGCCAAGTTCTCAGGGGACTCTAATGAGAGCAGATAAGATAATGAAGACTGATCCTCTTGATGGTTACTGAGACAGAACCTGTTGTTCCACAGTTGTGCTGTCCAATCCAAAAGCTTCCAGCCATGAGTGGCTACTGAACACTTGAAATGTGGCTGGTGTAAATGGAGACGTGCTGCAAGTGTAAAATACACGCTGGAATCCAAAGACAATACAAAAACAAGGGTGTGAAATATCTCATCAATTGATTACATATTGAAATGATAATATTTTGGATGTACTGGATCAAATAAAATACATTAATTTCCCTTGTCTATTTTTAGCTTTTGAAATGTGGCTACTAGAAAATTTTAAGTTACATACATGGCTCACATCGTATTCCTAGTGGACAGTACTGTTCTAGAGGCACATCAACCTCTCCTCCATCAAACTGATAGTAAACCTAACACTAGAGTTATGACCTCCAAACTGGGATTCCCTCATTAGTCAGGGAATGGTCAGCTAGGAGAGATTTGGGAGTCTCTCTTCTTACACTGAAGGGAAAACTTACACTGAAGCCCCTTATGAGAGAAACCAAGCAGCAGCTCAGGGAAGGAGCGGGCGAGTCAATACATCCATAAGAGAGGAGTCCCACTTAATGACACTTCTGACACAAGCAGGCGGTTGTGAGGAAAGGGATCATGGGGTCTGAAGCGTCCTCGTCCACTCCCTCAAATGCTTTTTGTTCCCTTCTGGTTCATAATTGTTATACCCTGACAAGTTTTAATGAGGTAGGGAGGGTCCTCCAATGTAGTCACATGACTTTTATCCTTACAAAAGCTATATTACAGCTAAGCAAATATTTTAGTTAACATAAAAATTGTCTTCTATGGCCAGGCGCGGTAGCTCACACCTGTAATTCCAGCACTTTGGGAGGCTGATGCAGGAGGATCACTTGAGGCCAGGAGTTCCAGACCAGCCCGGCCAACATGGCAAAACCCTGTCTCCACTAAAAATACAAAAATTAGCCAGGTGTGATGGCACACACCTATAGTCCCAGCTACTTGGGAGGCTGAGGCACAAGAATCGCTCGAACCCAAGGGGCAAGGGGCGGAGGTTGCAGCGGGGTGAGATCGCACCACTGCTCTCCAGCCTGGGCAACAGAGGGAGCCTTCTTCTCAAAAAAACAAACAAAAAAAGATTATGTTTTATGTATAAGTAATTTAGAAATACTTTCCAACAGGTTATAATTAAAACTACACAAATTTCTGCAAAATGGCTAGCCCAAATTAGTATTTCCAAAGAGGAAATATTTGCCAATTATTCTACTATCAGCTAATGAAATTAGTATTTTATTTGGAAGAAGTCTGCCAAAATAGATTGTAATGTGTTTTCTTAAACCAGGCCCATAACTTGACAGAGTTTCTGGAACAGAAAACAAATAAAAATCAACTCAATGGGTCTTTGTCCAAAATGTCCAAACAGCTACATATGTATGTTTGAACGAAATGTATTTAGATATTATTACTTAAAGATCCAATAAAATAGGTTTCTTTCATTCTCCTTTGATACCTAGCCAATCAATTCCTTTACTAAGTGTTCAAAGTAGATGAAGGACATTAACTGCACAATGCTGAGAACTTTGTTTCTGATTGCTGCCCATTGATCGATGATTAAAGATGCCATAAAGTCATCCCACTGAAGAAACCTAGAGAGCACGGAGGTTATGCGTTCATGACCACAAATTGCCATCACGATACAGTGAATAAAATATAACTTTTTAATTATTCAAGGCAATGCAGAATTACTTGTTTTTGAAATCACTGATCTGAATACCTATAAATTACCAGTAGAGATTAATGAGTTTTTTTTTTAATCAGTAATGATACCTTTGGATACAACAGAAGATCGAAGGCCAGTTTTGCAGACAGTCTGTTATTTTATTGCACAGATTTCACTTAAAGAATAAAATGCACCATCAGTATTTGGAGAGTTTGGGGTCTCAGATACTGATATACCATCAGTGTTTACACCCGTAAAGCCAAATTCAACAGTACAATTTATGTTAAACAACATCACTTCAAGATGGCTAACAATGCAAATAGAGAGAAAAGTGGGGGAAAGCTTTAAAAATGTGTTAGTTTGAAGCATGTGAAAATGTAGGATTAAAAACTACATCATACAAACCTGAAATCAAAAATGTTTTGTGGAACATCAGTTAAAGTTATGCTCACTTGCACTGTTATTTATTGCATAAAGTCTATCTGGTTCATTTCCTTCATATTGATGAATTGAGGATTTCAGGAAAACCATGGTTATAAAAACGATCAATCTTGAAAAAGTATGTACAGATAAATGTAAAATCACAAACTAAAAAATATCCCTACCCCTGGCCCTCAGCTTACAAAAGGGAAAGTTTCCCATGGAAAGAAACTTCCACTATTCCCCTCCCTCCCGCATCCCATGTCCCCATTGCTATCTTTTTCTGTCTCGTACAAGTAAATGACCTTGAAGGGAAGAAACAAAAGCCATCTTTATGAGGCTCCCATTGTCAGCTGTATCAGTTTGAAAAGTGTCTTGGCCGGTGCGGTGACTCACTCCTATAATCCCAACACTTTGGGAGGCCAAGGCAGGAGGATAAAGTCCAGGAGTTCTAGATCAACCTGGGCAACATAGGGAGCCCTCATCTCTACAAAAAACTTGAAAATTAGCTGGGTGTAGTGTTGGACGCCTGTAGTCCCAGCTACTTGGGAGGCTGAGGCAGGAGGATCACTTGAGCCTGGGAGGTTGAGGCTACAGTGAGCCGAGATCACACCACTGCACTCCAGCCTGAGTAACAGAGTGAGGCCCTATTTAAAAAAAAAAAAAAAAAAAAAAAAGTGTCTTGTATTTCTCTTCCCCACCCCCACCTAACTCAGTGATGTTTGCAAAACATTTGAAATTTAAAGAAACAAAATATATATATTTTTTAATAAACAGCAAAAGAATGCCCAAGAAAAGAGCTAATAGTTGGCAACGCCATGAGAAAAAATGTATGGGCATTATCTGAGCTAGAGATTTCTTTAAAGGCAACCAAAAGATGGGGGAAAGGGAGAGAAGTTAAGACTACAAAATGCCAGACAGGATGCTTTTCTAGACCTTTGGCTTTAAGCCTGGCAGAGGAGTGGGCTTCCCCCACACTGTGACTAGCAAACCTAGGGCCCTGAGCCCAGCATCTACAGCACCTCTGTGGGCAGCCGGGCAGCCCTCTTATACATGGGCACTCTTGGCATGCGTCGGGGAGCTAGAGCCCGAAGAGTAGTAGAAAGGGTTTTCACCAAAGGCCTGGGCATCTCCAGCGCAGCAGAGGATGACACAGCCACCCACGAGGCACAGCACAGCACCAATCCAGCCTGCATACAGGGAGTAGCCAAAGCTCACGATGGTGGTCTCACGGTGGGCGCACACAGGGAACCAGATGGTGGCAACAATGGCGCAGAGAGCTGGAGAGACATGGAGAGGCCGTGACTGGGCGCACCCATCACACACCAAGCACGTGGGCAGGCCCACTCACTCCACATACACACACTTGTGGCTTCCAGCCAGCTCCAAAAAGCTCCATACACACGGCTCTGCTCCCTCAACACTGAACCAATATGTAGCAGTTGGCATCTGTAGAAGAAGCTGACTGCTGGGTCCTTATTTTTTCCAGCAGGTGGCAGAAATAAAATAATTCCAATGTAAAGACCTAGAAATAAACCATTTAAGTCCAAAAAATATTTATTTGTATTTACTTGTATATCAACACTTCATATCTAGTTATAATTCTAAAATTAATATACTTACCTAATTGTATTATAATTATTGCTTTACCTATCTATGTGTCATTGTAAGCTCTCTGAGTTCCTTGAAGGTAGGGTCCATGTCTTACTTATGTCTACCTTGGTACGAGGCAAATAGTACATGCTCAATGTAGACCAGTTGAATGGCTGAATTATCTGAGCTATTCAAAAATGAGAAACGAGATGGCAGCCACCTCAATTTTCCACTCTATTTTCTCAGTTTGGTCAATTCACATTACAAAGATCTGGAGAAGGCATGAAATTTCTCTTGATGTGGTGAATGTTGCTGGATGAAAATGGAGTACCAGATAAAGGTTCAAGTTTGTATTACGCTGTTCACAATCACAAAATCCCAACACACAAATGAACAGTCCTTGGAGTAGAAAAACTCACCCATTCGGGGGTCAAAATGGTAGAACTTTACTTTTGGTCTTGCACCAATCAATCTAATCTTCGTTTTGGTTTTGATTTTATAGAGTAAAATAAGAAATAGCTTATATATCATGTAGTTTTTCACCTCTTTATAAGCAAAGTAACAAAACATGGGCAGGCAAGAGGCTATGAAGACTTTTTTATATTTTTTTCAAATATCTAGACCAGCACTGTCAAATGGAGTAGCCACAAGTTATGTGGGACCATTGATCATTTGTCATGAGGCTAGTGAGATGAAGAACTGAATTTTGAATTTTCACTACTTTTAATTTAAATGGCCACATGTAGCTAGTGGCTACTGTACTGAACAACACAGCTCTAGACAAAGTAACTCCAAACCTCTTTAAGTTGAGATGGCACATTAAGGTTGGCAGACGGAAAAATAATAACAATAATAATAATAACAATGAGGTTTCCATCAACAAATTAAGAAAGAATACTGCACTGCCAGTGTGACGTTTGCCACCAGGGATACCCTTATCACTTTCAACTCAGCAAGCTTTTTTCTGATTTCTACTCATGGTGAGTGATTTTCTAACTTACTCTCTATGCCCGCAGAGAAGAAATATAATTTAACATAAGCAATCAAATCTAACAGCCTTGTATATTAGTTCTAAATGGAAAAAAGGATTGGTCTTACCCATTTTGAAAGACCTTTTAAACAGTCTCATTGCATTTGTGTTGCTCGTAACATAGATTCTTATTGCAATAGATTAAACCACTCCCACAAGCTGAGTATAGATACACATAAAAATATATGATCTCTATCCTTAAAAAGAATAGATCTCAAGAGGAAATCAGAAGGAAGAGAGTTAATTTGAAAAGCTATGAATTGCCCAGATTGGCTTTCTAACAGCCCAAATTCACTCCATTAATTATTTATAGATTATCTAAGAAGCTAAAATTGGCCAGGCATGGTGGCTCACACCTGTAATCCCAGCACTTTGGGAGGCCGAGGTGGGCGGATCACCTGAGGTCAGGAGTTCAAGACCAGCCTGGCCAACATGGCAAAACCCCGTCTCTACTAAAAAATACAAAAATTAGCCAGGCATGGATGGTGGGCAACTGTAATCCCAGCTACTTAGGAGGCTGAGGCAGGGAGAACTGCTTGAACCCGGAAGGCAGAGGTTGGATGCAGTGAGTGGAGAGCTCACCACTGCACTCCAGCCTAGGCAACAGGGCAAGATTCTGTGTTAAAAAAAAAAAAAGCAGCAGCAGCAGCTAAAATCTACCCATATGCTAATGTTTCCTTTTTCTTAAAAAGTAAGCACAGTCATGCCAGCTTCTGTAATATTTTCATATGAGATACCATGAGAACATGTATTTTCCTTCTGTGACTAGAATGTTCAAGAAGAGCAATGTGTACCTGAAACCTCCCTTTCTAGCTCAGGACTTAGGAAACCTCAGATGCAGGGGAAAGTCTTTTTCTTTCTCTTCTCTGACATGGATTCCAAATCAGGCACTCTTGGAGAATTGCTTGGCTATTATCAGAGTCTCTACTTTCAGCAAGACACAGAGAAAAACCTTTTTCTCTGTCAGAACAGGGGACTAAAATCCTCTTTTGGAGGGTTTCAGCAAGAGAGAACTGCCGTAGATTTTCCATAGCATACACAATCTACTTACACAGCCCCAAACCTCAAAAGTGGGCATTCATTTTGCTACTGGCAAAAACAGCAACCTAGCAAGGGCTTCCAAATACCCAGGCTTGTTTAGAGGAAAAAGAAGGGGAGTGAAAAGCTGAATTCTGTAGGGAAAAAAGTTATAATTCCCAAACAACTGATATGGTTCAAGCTAACTGATCTTTCCTATAAACAACTGGTCTCAAAACAACTCAGGGTTCAAATCAAGTTTTATATTTTTCAACTATACTGTATTTACACATACAGCACATGTGCACACACATGCAGGAAAGCATCCCCCACATCCAATGTAAACCTAACTTTCAGGTTTAGTTTAGATTTTATAGAATAAGACAAGAAACTGCCTCTAAATTCATTTAATTGTTCCCTTAAGCAAATAATAAAACAAGATTATCTTGTTTTAAACACAGGGAAATAATCAGGCTCAATATCCCAAAAGTAACCATCAGTCTTGGTTTTGAGTATTTTAGGGATTTTGTTAGGTTTTATTCCAATATAAATCATTAAAAAAAGGGAAAAATCAGAAAAAGGTCTAAACATCTCATACAATGAACCTCCATAGGGATGGATGAGTGAACGGGGGAATGAATGGATGGATGGATGGATGAGAAGTAGTCTCATTTCAATTCTACCTTTCACTTCATACACACCAAAACTGAGGTCCAAAGTCATAAAATCTTATTGTGATTTTATGACTTTGGACCTCAGTTTTGGTGTGTATGAAGTGAAAGGTAGAAAGGTAGATTTTAACACACTTAAAGTCGCAAGCTCATCATTGACCTCATTAAAGATTTCCTTCTCTTATAATTCACACAAAACAAGGCAAATGAGTGCCAGCAGGCTCTTTACTTCCTAGGAGACAAATGAACCCTGGGTGGAATTCCTGTGGCTCTCAAAGATGAATCACATCAAAACCACTAAAAAATGACAGACTACCACACAACATGAAAGGAAATGAGAGGCTCACTGAAAACAGTGACCTCCAATTGAACTCAAAATGAAAAATGTTTAAAAACTAAAATAGGAGAATTTACTCAATTTCAGCAATGGTTTCAAGGAAGAAAGGGATATGTTTTGTCCAGTAGAGTTAAAAACGCAAGTCAAATCATTACGTAACTTAAAAACATGTGAAATAGTAATAGAACTGGCCAAAAAAAATTGCCTTTCTTAAAGACATAGAAGGTCTGATAGATTTATTTTTATTTGCAAACCCAAAAAGATGAGTTTGGAATGGTTCTCTCTGTCATTTGGGAAAAATAAGGAAAATGTTTTTCTAAAAAGTCAGTTACCTGTAAGGTCAAGAAAATTGAAGAAAGATAAAGGAAATTTTTGTTCTTTTTCTTTTTGCATCATCAGAATATATTTTTAAATTAAGTCTCTAAAAACAAGACAGTAATTTTAGCACTCAGATTTTTCAGTCTTTCTCCTCTTCTACCTTCAGAAGATGCAATAGTTAACTACACAAGGTTGGGGGGTACCATTTGTTGTTGGAGAATAGAAAGTAAAACTGAGGTATATTCTTAGCTAAAAATGAGGAGGAGGAGAAGGAGGAAGAGAAGGAGAGAGAAAGGGAAGGGAGAAGAAAGCTTCACTATGTAAAGACAGATATATCTAAACCTAGTCCTCTCATAAGTAGAATTCCTTGCTCTTCAAAGAATAAAATTGTTTGCCTCTTTTGAGAACAAGTTTCAAATAATGCAATACAGTACATTATTTAATTGATAAGATATGCCTTGTTAAAAACTGAGAATGATGGTGACATGACCCAAAGGAAAATGTTTGAGAAGTCCATTTTAAAGCAATGAAATGTAAGTGTGGCTTTTAATCTCTTTACAGATGAGATGACACATGGTAATATATGGAGTTAAACAAACACAAAGTTAAAAAAAATCAATATAGGTGTGTTTGACTTTGGAGGTAACAACTGAGAGACAGACAGACAGACAAAGAGACAGAGAAAGACAAGGTCAGTGGGCACTGACATTTCTTCCTCCTTCCAATAAACCTACTTTTTTTTTTTTTTTTTTTTTTTTTTTTTGGATAGGGTCTCTGTCACCCAGGCTGGAGGGCAGTGGTGCAATCTCAACTCACTGCAGCCTCGTTCTCCTGAGCATCGATCCTCAGCCTCCTGAGTAGCTGGAATCACAGGGGCACACCACCAGGCTGGCCTAACTTTTGTATTTTTAGTAGGGATGGGGTTTTGCCATGTTGGCCAGGCTGGTCTCGAACTCCTGGGCTCAAGCAATCTGCCCATGTTGCCCTTCCAAAGTGCTACATTACAGGCGTGAAATACCACGCCTAGCCCCAATGAACCTTTTTTCATGCTTTGTCACTTTCCACTGAAAGGCTTTTTTTTTTTTTTTTTTTGAGACAGTCTCACTCTGTCGCCCAGGCTGGAGTGCAGTGGCATGATCTCAGCTCACTGCAAACTCCACCACGTGGGTTCAAGCAATTCTTGTGCCTCAGCCTCCCAAGTAGCTGGGATTACAGGCGCCTGCCATACCTGGCTAATTTTTGTATTTTGTGTTTTTTGGTTGGTTTTTTTGTTTTCTGTTTTTTGAGATGCAGTTTCACTCTTGTTGCCCAGGCTGGAGTGCAATGGCGCGATCTCAGCTCACCGCAACCTCTGCCTGCTGGGTTCAGGTGATTCTCCTGCTTCAGCCTCCCGAGTAGCTGGGAATGCAGGCGTGTGCCACCATGCCCAGCTAATTTTATATTTTAAGTAGAGACAGGGTTTCTTCATGTTGGTCAGGCTGGTTTCAAACTCCTGACCTCAGGTGATGCACCCACCTCAGTCTCCCAAAATGCTGGGATTACAGGCGTGAGTCACCACGCCCAACCCTGAAAGAACTTTCAAAAGTACCATTTCTAGCACAAAGCAAAATTTTCATTAAAGTCATTTAAATTATTCTGACTTTTGCCGGGCACGGTGGCTCAAGCCTGTAATCCCAGCACTTTGGGAGGCTGAGACGGGCGGATCACAAAGTCAGGAGATCGAGACCATCCTGGCTAACACGGTGAAACCCCGTCTCTACTAAAAAATACAAAAAACTAGCCGGGCGAGGTGGCGGGCACCTGTGGTCCCAGCTACTCTGGAGGCTGAGGCAGGAGAATGGCGTAAACCCGGGAGGCGGAGCTTGCAGTGAGCTGAGATCCAGCCACTGCACTCCAGCCTGGGCAACAAAGCCAGACTCAGTCTCAAAAAAATAAATAAATAAATAAATAAATAAATAAATAAATAAATAAATAAATTATTCTGACTTCTTACATTAGTAATAGCAAAAAAAAAAAAAAAACTTCCTTGATATGCTAAGATTTCCTTTAAAAAATCTGCAGACTGGAAGAAATGGAGAAGTGGAAAGATGAAGCATGTATTACAGTCATGAGTTGATCACTGTTGAGGAGGTTGGGTTCACAGGGGTTTATTATACTATTCCTCTACTTTTACATAGGTCTGATATTTTCCACAATAAAAATGTTCTTAAAGACCTTCTTGGCCGGGTGCGGTGGCTTACGGCTCAGGAGTTTGAGACCAGCCTGCCCAATATGGTGAAACTCCATCTCTACAAAAAATACAAAAATTAGCCTGGCATGGTGGCACATGCCAGTAATCCCAGCTAGTCGGGAGCCTGAGGCAGGAGAATCGCTTGAACCTGCGTGGCAGAAGTTGCAGTGAGCCAAGATTGCGCCACTGCACTCTAGCCTGGGCAACAGAGCAAAGCTCCATCTCAAAAAATAAAAAAATAAAAATAAAAATAAGGAAATTAGACATGATTGGAAGAATACCCAGCTGCTCTCTGGGTATTTTTTTAACCAGCTAACCAACAATAACAAAAATAATAGCAACCATTTATTGAGAACTTACTATGTGCCAGATCCCATGCTAAATAATTTTCACACATCACTTCACTGCTTTTACTAACTTGAGAAGCAGGCGTTATTGTTCCCATTTTATGGAAGGGACCAGAGACATTAAGGAACTGCCCTAGTTCACACAGCCAGAAAGTAGTAGATTCCAGATTAAGCACAGTTGGATCTGATTCCAACTGATAAGATCAAACAATTCAGGGCATAGGCACCTCCTGCCTTGGCAGGAACTCTTAAAAAGCCACAAACAGATTAGCCTCAAATCCACCACAGATCTGAGAGCCTGCTGCTCCTGCGCCACTCATCTGGCTTTAGAAGCAACTGGCTTCTATTTCTTCCTCCACAGCAGGAACCAAATCCTCACACCATTAAACGTAACTGCTGAGAAGATAATGCTGTACAACACACATAATTTTTTTAAGGTTTCACAAAAATAATTACAGATTTTCAGGGTCAGGAAAAACAGATTTTAATTAGCAGTGTTCACAGTTCCTATACCAGGACTAGCTGTGATACTGTGTCCAGTTCCCAGGCCCCTGAACTCCAGGGGATGCCTCATCTTCTTTGGTCGAATGAGGTTTTCGCTCAGCCCCATTCAGTGACCCTGAGGACCCTGCCCAGGCCTAGCGCTGGCTTCTCTGAGGGAGTGACAGAAAACAGTCCAGAGGAACACAAAGGGAGCCTTCACTCCCCGTGCTCCTCCCACCACTGCCAACAGGGGAAACAAGGCACTTGGGGCTCCGTGGTGAGAAGACCTAGAGGAGATCAGCAGGTGCCATGCCTGAGACAATGAGCTTTACATTTCCAGAGCTAGCTCGTTCTAGTCAAAACAACATCCAACCCACAGGCAGTGGTGACCCACTGAGAAATAAATCTGGATAGGAGCAAGGGCAGACAATATCAGAAATGCAAGGCCGTAAAAGTGCAATGAGGGGACTCCGGGGAGTGTCCGGAAACGGGCAGCCTCCTTGGGTGGGGTCAGATCCCTCAATGTCCTGCCTCCCCCATAGTTTCACTCCAGACAGGCAAACAGGGACTGAGGCACTCACCCACTCCCCAGCCCCACCTGACTTTCTTCCTCTGTGATTCTGACTATCTACATTAACCCACTTTTAGAAGACAAAGAAAAACAAATTCAGCTAGGAAGTTTCAAACCACCAGCTGCTTTTTCCTTCAATATCCCTGATTATTCAACTAAACAATTCTGTTGTATTTAGCGTTTTTTTTTTTTTAACCTATCTATGTATACTTTGCTTTTATCTCTCTATTTTCCAGGGTTTGTGTGTTTTAGTGTGTTCTCTTACTTGTGGATACCTGTGACACTTATATGGAAGGCCAGAATGTCTAAACATGAGCACCCAACACAACAGACCCATCTTTTGGCTCTGCCATCCTCAAAGCCCAAGAGAACCTTCTGGGGCTTCTGTGAGAATGTGAGGAAAGTAACAAACAGCAAGTGTCTAGGAGAAGGATTTCACCTGGATTCTGCAAACCCAGTTTACTTGTGGAGCTTTGACTTTCCTGTTGGAAAAGGAGTCGGACACACAGATCTGACCTCCATAGAGCAGGGCAAGAGGGGGCCCCTGTAAGTCAGATAAAGCACCAGATGCTGATATGTGTTCTGTGTGATACTGGCACACAAATTCTTTGTGGCTGGAACCAAAATTTCCACATTCAGATTTTTCTCTGGAAATTACAGTGGTCTTTTCACTCCTGTTAACACATACACACACACACACACACACACACACACACACACACACACCTGTGGCTTCGCAAGAACCTGCAAACCTCCTTCCCTTTGCAATCCTGGAAAATGGTGCCCTGCCTCTCATGTCCCCTCACCTTACTGGTATCACTGTGAGTGTGAGGCCTCCAGATGGGAGGTACCCACCACTAAGTGGCATCAACCCACACAGAATCCTGACGCCCATTCTTACCCCTCAAATTCATCATCTGATATGCCAATCTGGGGGTATGAATTCCTTGTTTCAGAAGAACATGATTTTATATCTAACCCATACCCAGACTAATTTCTTCTCACTGATACGTGCACTTTGCAACAAGAGTTGTTCTTAAAATTCATATCGTCTATTAGGATTTAGAATGTGCTGATGAAACTAGCATCTGAGGGGAAAAAAATGGAGAGAAATGAAATCACTGACGAGAGTAGAGCTAGAAGGACCCTCCATAGGTTGTTAAATGAAGCCCTCTATGTGCATGTATAATCAGCAAAACCAAATGAGCACAGGCCATTTCCTGTCCCTGGACTGTCCCTCCCCTCAATTCATGACCAGCCCACCTTCTCTTCAAGTCTCAGGGCTTATTGCTGGGTTCTTCTGCTCTGGAAACTCATCCAGTCCGGGTTAGGTGTCTTCCTATGTGTATACACAGCCTATATACCTTTTCTACATGAACACATACCATATTCTATTGAGGTGTCCAAGTACACCCAAAGCAAAGACGGCCTGTTTTCCCCAGGATGGAGCCATCACCTGGTGGTCCAACCACCCTCAACTCCTGACTTTTCTCTTGCCCTCCTCTTTACTTTTTTCTTTCTTTTTTTTTTTTTTTTTTTTTTTGAGTTGCACTCTGTCACCCAGGCTGGAATGCAATAGCGCGATCTAAGCTCACCGCAACCTCTGCCTCCTGGGTTCAAATGATTCTTCTGCCTCAGGCCCCACCGAGTAGCTGGGATTACAGGCGTGCACCACCATACCTGGCTAATTTTTGTATTTTTAGTAGAGATGAGGTTTCACCATGTTGGCCAGGCTGGTCTTGAACTTCCAACCTCAGGTGATTCGCCCACCTCGGCCTCCTTCTTTACTAACTGATTTTCTCAGTCTTGCTTGCACATAAGCATCACCTGGGAGGCTTTCAAAAAATATCTTTGCCTGGCCTGATGCCCAGAAAATTCTGATTCGATTGATCTGCTTTGGGACCTGGGCATAGGTGTTCAAAAATGATTCCACTGTGAAGACTGGAAGGCTTCCATCTTTCAGGTCTTTCCCTTAGGTATTTCCTACCTTCAAAATCCTCTTTCTCTTTTTTTTTTTTTTTTTTTGAGACGGAGTCTCGCTCTGTCGCCCAGGCTGGAGTGCAGTGGCCGGATCTCAGCTCACTGCAAGCTCCGCCTCCCGGGTTCACGCCATTCTCCTGCCTCAGCCTCCCGAGTAGCTGGGACTACAGGCGCCCGCCACCTCCCCCGGCTAGTTTTTTGTATTTTTTAGTAGAGACGGGGTTTCACCGTGTTAGCCAGGATGGTCTCGATCTCCTGACCTCATGATCCGCCCATCTCGGCCTCCCAAAGTGCTGGGATTACAGGCTTGAGCCACCGCGCCCGGCCTCTCTTTCTCTTTTTAAACTTATCTTCATGTTCAGTGACTCCCAGAGACATTACTTAGCCCTCTATGTAAACTGCCCGTAAAATACAAAGGGATACAGATTGTGGGGGTCCATCCCCCACTGGGTTCACTTGGCTTCCTTTCACATTTCTCTTGAACTTGAGAAGGCAGCAACCACAAGATCTGAGATTCATCAGGCTCCCTCATAGGTGGGGTACCATTGAGAAAGCTGTCTTACCCAGCAGAATGAGCAAAACACCAGCCAGCTGGGCCCGCCTGTACTTAGCCACACCGGGCTCATGGCCCATCCGGATGCAGGGAAGAACAGTCAGCAGCAGTAAAATGGCTGGCAGACCCAGGACTGAGGCAGCAATCATCAGGGCACGGCAGGCCTGCACATAGCCTGGGAACAAGAGAGCAGATGGGAAAAGTTAGACCACGGGGTTCTCTTGCTTCCTGAGTCCTGCCTTAGGGGAATTCAGCATCATCTCCCTTCCTCGCTCTTGGCCCATTCCAGGACTTAGAAGGTGCTAGTATTGTCCAAGGTCACTAAGCACTTTTCAACTTTTAAAACAACTCAGCAAGAAAAAAGGGGGCTGGAGAGACTAAATGGGGGCCCCTGGTTTAGGCCACTTGGCCAAGCTTCCAGGGTGGAGGGGCCAAGAGTCTATTTACATTATTACATCCCCATGAGAAAGTTCAGATGAAAACTCAAATCTCCCAAGAATCATTCTGTGAGGGCCAAGTTACTTAACCATGATGTCTTACTTTCTACATCTATAAAGTGACAATAGGCCAGGCACGGTGGCTCACACCTATAATCCCAGCACTTTGGGAGGCCAAGGCAGGTGAATCCTCTGAGGTCAGGAGTTCAAGACCAGCCTGGCCAACATGGCAAAACTACATCTCTACTAAAAATACAAAAATTAGCCTGGTGTGGTGGTGTGCGCCTATAGTCCCAGTTACTCAGGGAGGCTGAGGCAGGAGAATCGCTTGAACCTGGGAGGCGGAGGTTGCAGTGAGCTGAGATAGAGCCACTGCACTCCAGCCTGGGTGACAGAGCGGGACTCTTTCTCAAAATAAATAAATAAATAAAGTATTGATAATAATGTAATAGTACCTGCATCTCTCTAATAGAATTCTACCGAAGACTACATTAGTTAATTTATGCAATGCTTAAAACGGTGCCTATACCAAATCCTCAAAAAAGGTTAATTGTTATCATTGGTGTTCTTTGTCTGTCTCAGTGCAGTGCTTTCATCTCCAGGTGTCCTAGGTGATTTTCTCCTAACCACGTGCTTTCATTCACATTGGCTGTGGCCCTAACCCAGACTAAGCTAAAATTCAGGCTTCCTCTCTTTGCTGTCTCCCCAGAGGCTGCTGTCCTCATGGATCCTGCCCCTAAATGGTTGGGTGCCATCTGCCTCCCCCACAGTACCCTGGGCATCCTTCCCCAGCTGTCCATCATTGCTTAAAAGGCATCTCTCCAGCCCTCAGGGTTCCTGGATGGCAGACACCTGCCTTGGTATTCACGGAGTTAACACAGTGCCCACAACAGATCATGGAAACAATTGCAAATCAAGGAATAAGAGAACTGAAAAATAGAAGAGTAGAGAAAAACTACATGAACTTTATCCTGTCAAGTAAAATGCCAAGTAAAAACTTTATTAAGAAACAGATTACAATATGTGTCATATTTATTTAGAATAACTCTGACAAGACACTGGGAGAATTTCACAGACAAATGTGTTTCACTTTTAAATGTAATGTTTCTCATTAAAGCTCTCCCTCCTCTTAAAAAAGTGGGGGGCGCATTTATTACTCTCCCTTCTTTGCTCAGAAGGAACTAGTACTAGCGGCCTGGGTGAGGCAGAGTTCATAGCAAAGCCAGGAAACTAGCCCAACATCTGCCTCACACACCAGGACCCTCACGTGCACAAAGTCCTAACTTCAACGCTGTCTCTTAGCAAGGTACGTTTTGCCAGAATTCGGGCTTCACAAGGGCCCTCTTCCAGCACTGCCCATCTCAGCTCCTTCAGAATTAAAGATAATCAGTCAAGTGTCTACTGACTTGAAGATCTCCAGAAAGGAGCTCCAGAAAGTCTGAGGCCCATCCCCTGACCCAGCCATCTGCCCCTGCAGCTTGTAGAGAGCCAGCACCCACACAAAGGAGGCAGTCAACTGGCAATGCAGGTTCTGAAATCCACGGCACTGGCTGTCCACATGCTACAGTGCCAAGGCCATGTCCGGACACCAAAAGATAGAGACTGAGGACTGTTACTGCCTCCACCCAAAGTGTGACAGAGGGGGAAGGCAGGAAGGACTAGCACCACCCCCCACTCCCCCAATATGCACTCCCCTCTGGAGGATGGCCTTTGTTCTCTGAAAACAAACCACTTGGCATTGAATGCTCAGTAAAGTTAATTTCAGGAGAAGGAAGCAAAGGTAATTTTATGCTTCAAAGATCCCTACAAATACCATGCCCAGCTTTTAATAAAATACTATAACTACCATTCATGAAGCATCTACTATCTCAAAGGAGATTACATTTCTTATCTCATTTAATCCTCAAATAATCGTGAAAGATGGGTGGTTGATCTGATTTTAACTTTTTCAAAAGAAGACAACCGTGGTTCACTGATGCTAGCAATTTGTTCCCCGTCACCCAGATTGTGAGTCCTGGATCCCGGAGGCTGGCCTGGTCTGCCAACACCAGCATTAGCCAAAGCTGAGTCTAGATCTGGGTTTGTTGACCTCTGGCCTTCTGAAAGTTCAAAATGAAGTAAAGGATAGCGTAAGGCAAGCCAGGCAAGCACTGCCCGCAGCTATTGTGTGCCAGAGGCCATGCCAGGTCCAGAAGAGGAAGCAAAGAGAATTAACAGGACAGCATCTCTATCTTCAAGGAATTAAAACGTAGTGGGAGAACTTCACTCACGAACAATCAACAAAAAACAAGATAAAATGTGCCTTTGTGGGGATAAGAGCCAAGTACTAGGCAGCAAGGAGGAAGGAGGGATTCTGATTTCGACTGCGAGGACTGGAAATAGGGGGTGCTTGGAGGAGGCTTAAGGGGCGAGCAGGTCTTTTATCTGACTGGCGGCTTCAGGGACAAGTTTCTCCCCATCTTGAGGAAACCGGGAAAATCCTTTAAGTGAGCACAATCCACGAAGGCTGGGGGACAGAAGCCCACCTTGTAGAGACCGGGACAAAGACATGCCTTTGGGGCAGGACAGAGATTCCAGCAGAAAACCAAGGGGTTGCCCCCGACCTCGCCATTGCCCAGCTGGCTCGTGGTTTGAATCTGAATTGAGACTGTCGCCCAGAATGTTTCCACAGGACACATATGAAGATGTGGCCCCTGGCCCGCGCTAGGCTGTCAATTTTTAGCTCCCCTTTCCACTCTGAGGCACGCTGGAGGGGTGGCGGCGAGCGACCCTCGGCGGCGCGCTCCGTGTCTCCCCAGTGGAGTCCGCCCTCCGAGGAGCCCCTGCTCGTCCCTATCCAACCCAGCGGCGCGGAGCCGGAGCCGGCGTCACCGCAGCACCGCGGTCTGACGCGCCCACAGCAGGGGCGGGGGCAGCGGAGATGGCCCTGGGCACAAGCGGGAACCAACCTGTCATTTCCCAAACCAGGCAGCCCAGAGCGCCTTGGACGTGAATCGCTCAGCGGCTGGGCGGACAGAGCTAGGAGGGCTCTAACCTGGCTGGGGCGCTTCTCCCATCCTATGAGGACCGGGAAACTCAGCCTAAGCCGGTTCGATTCTCCTGTCCGCTTGTGTTACACGCTCCTTCTCACCTCTGCGGGCGGAATCTAACGCGAAGGCTCGGCGCCCCGGGGAAGGCCTGGCGGGAGCGGGAAGGACTTTGGGAAGCCGACGGTGGAAGGATGCGGGCTGGGGCCGCAGTAATTAATACGGACTCAGTTCCTATTATGTGTTCCTGTTTGTTCATTCTCAAGGGGACTCGGCCAGTGTTACCACCGGCCACACTGCCACTATTACCCCAAATTCCAGGTAAGAATACTGAGGCCTAGAGAAGTTAAGTTCCGGGCTGCCTAATTCTTCTACAAGGTGGGACTAGGAATGTCAAAAACGTACCCAAAGGTCTTCAAGCCCCCAAAATGTCTCTGTGACCGCCGTCTAATATCCCGCTCTTTACCCAGAGGATAAGGATTGGGGAGCCTCCGCCAAGCTCGTGTCCTTACCCGGCAGGATGAGGATGTCCACCAGGGGCTTGCAGTGGTACAGCCCCGTGGCCATGACGCAGTCGGCCCACAGCCCCTTGGAGCCCAGCTCGTCCAGCTTGCGGCAGGTGGGGATGGTGTAGCCGCAGGTCACCACCCAGTCATTGGTGGAGGTGGTCACGATGACGCCGATCCAGCCCACGAAGCTCGTGACGAAGCCCACCACCTGCAGGCACGTGGCCACCATCGTGGGCGCCAGTTTGTCCCCGTGCCTCGCCCCTCACGGCTGTGCCTGGACCCGGGCTGGACAGTGCCTGTCCAGGTACGTCTCCCACGCTCGCGAGTCGCTGGAGGGCGACGGCCCGAGGCGGGACACTGGAGGCGGAGGTCGGCGCGGGAGGCAGCGAGCTCAGCGGCGAAGGGCTCACGGCCGGGACGGCAGCGCTGCTGGGCAGCGCGCCCCCGCCCCCTCTTTAAGCCCCGCGGCTCGGGCCGGCGAACACCAATCGGCGGCAGCCCCGGGGCGCGCCGGCCAATCGCGGGGCGGGGCCGGGAAGGGAGGGTGAAGGGGAGCGGAGCAACCCCAGGGAGGCCATTGGGCCGCCCCGCCCCGTCCTCACCGCAGTCCCGCGATGCAAAGTAAAACAATTCCAATTCCATCCAGGTCCAAAGAAACGTAGAGCGCAAAGAGGGCGTGCGTTTGTCGAGAGTTCTGTTCTGCTGCGACTGATTTCTTTTCTTATAGCCCCTCTCTCCTCTCAGTCTCTGGGTCTCCCTTCCGCTCCGACCCTCCTCAGTTCCTCCCTGCTCGCTCTTTCTTCCCTGCTGCCAGCACCGCAAGGGCGCTCGATACAGTCTCCCGACGACCCAGGATTGTGACAGCCTGAAAAGTGCCGTAGGGACAGATGCGAAGCATTCAGTACACACAGTTACTAGAAGAAAGAAAACGATGCTTTTCAGTGGTTGAACATCATCAACGGCAAACGTGGCCATGGTAATAATGGTGGCAACAGTAGCGACTCACATTTATCGAGCTGTGTTATATATTATGCAGATGCATTTTACATGCATTAGCTCATTTAATTCTCATAACAGCCTTTAAGGTAGGAACAATTGTCAATTACACATGCTAGGCCGGGCGTGGTGGCTCACACCTGTAATCCCAGCACTTTGGGAGGCCGAGGTGGGCGGATCACCTAAGGTCAGGAGTTCGAGACCAGCCTGACCAACATGGTGAAACCCCATCTCTACGGAAAACACAAAAAGTAGCTGGGCATGGTGGTGCATGCCTGTAATTCCAGCTACTTGGGAGGCTGAGGCAGGAGAATAACTTGAAGGAGACTGCAGTGAGCCAAGATTGAGCTACTGTACTCCAGCCTGGGCGACTGAGCTAAATAATTAGGTTATTATTATCATTATCCAATGAAAGAAATTGTAAAGCCAGTGTCTAATCCATTCCAGCATAGATGTACAAAAGGCCACTTGAGGAGGCCACAAGATGTAACCTGTTTGAATTCATTAGCCCAAGGTAAAGAGAGGGCTTGTCCCTTCAAAAGGAAGGCAGGACGCCATGGAAGCAAAGAGAACTGGAGGCCAAGAGGCAGAGAGACACAATGGGAATCCTTGACTATTTTCAGAGTCTGTGGCTTACAGACTCTAAGGATGCAGTGCTATTAGCAAGACTCTGTAGGGTGGGAAAGTCCCTCAAGCTATCTTAGCTGAGATTTTTGCTAAAATCATCCACACTGGGGCCGGGCACAGTGGCTCACGCCTGTAATCCCAGCACTTTGGGAGACCAAGGTGGGCGGATCACGAGGTCAGGAGTTTGAGATCACTCTGGCCAACATGGTGAAACCCCGTCTCTACTAAAATATAGATAGATAGATAGATAGATAGATAGATAGATAGATAGATAGATAGACAGATAGATAGATTGATAGATAGATTAATTAGCTGGTCGTGCTGGCAGGTGCCTGTAATCCCAGCTACTCAGGAGGCTGAGGCAGGAGAATCGCTTGAACCTAGGAGGCGGAGGTTGCAGTGAGCCGAGATCGTGCCATTGCACTCCAGCCTGGGCGACAAGAGCAGACTCCATCTCAAATATATATGTATATATACAAAATTAGGTAGGCATGGTGGCACATGCCTGTAATCCCAGCTACTCGGGAGGCTGAGGCAGGAGAATCCCTTGAACCCAGGAGGCAGAGGTGGTGGTGAGCCAAGATCGCACCATTGCACTCCAGCCTGGGCAACAAGAGCAAACTCTGTCTCAAAAAAAAAAAAAAAAAAAAAACCATCCACATTGCTTGGCTGTGTCTCTGCTCCCAAACCCTCTTTGTGATTAAGACCTGACTTCCCATGCAGCACAACTTACTAAACTGATATTCTAGGTCTGCACATTCTCAGGTACCCTTTAGTTGTAAGAGTCAGTCTCTCAAGGTCTAATCACCCTCAGATAAATGTCAATGATTGGTCCCCAGACCATCCAGACAAAGGTCTTCTCAGTTAATTTTTTCTCAGCAAACTCTGCCATGCCATCACTTCACATTTCTACAGTACATATCAGAACTAGGAAAGTATAGCTGAGACCTGATTTCAGGTCTTCTATCCCTAAGTCCAGTGTTTTTTTCCATTATAAAAAAATGTAAGACGAGTCATATGCTCTATGGCTTGAGCATAAGTTCGTTCCTTCATCTTATTCAAAGGTATTTGAAGGGGAGGATTAGGGGATTAGGGCCAGTAAGGCCCTAAAACCCAGGTGTGAACTAAACAAAGGAAAAGTCCTGGTTAACTGTTCTTCTACCATTTACACCTAAAAATAGTTAAACTAAAATGCGATCCAGTTAGAGCACAAATGCACATCACAAGGCAGATGTGACTGCTGGCAAGCATCAAAAACCCACATTGAGAGCAAAGTTTGGGCCAAGGAGTAAGCTCTTAGCGCCTGCTAGTGGTTATCTTTTATCATTGCATGGCTGGTAAAAAACTGAAGGGAGCTGTGACTTGTAGAGAAATATGATTAACCTCAGCTTCGCACATTCCAAATGAGGGATAATTAAACCCATCTGGAATGTGCATTTCTCTGTGGAAGTTTTCTTCATATATTTAAAAAAGATGATTCACCTCTTTAGAAAACCAAACATGGAAACACAGGACATATATGAAATTACTTAAGCAAGATTATTCATTTAAAAAATCAAGTACTTCTACTAGGCTGTCATTTATTTATTTAGTTAGTTAGTTAGAGACAGAGTCTTGCTGTCCCCCTGGAGGCTGGAGTGTGGTGGCACGAACATAGCTCACTGTAACTCCAAACTTCTGGGCCCAAGTGATCCTCCCACCTCAGCCTCCTGAGTAGCTAGGACTATAGGTACATATCACCACACCTGGCTAATTTTTTATTGTTGTATTTTTTTATAGAGATGAGGGAAGGGTCTCTCTATGTTGCCCAGGTTGGTCTCAAACTCTTGGCCTCAAAAGATACCCCCATCTCAGCTCCCAATCACATCCGGCCTTTTTAAAGGACAAATTTATCTTTTGAAAGGATAAATTCCTCTGGTGGATTTTAAATATTTGATAATACACACATACACACATTTTTAGAAATACTGTAGAACAAATTCATAGCATAAAAAGAGTATCAAGCATAGGCTTTAAAAATGAAATGCCTTGTAAGTTACAGGATTTTGTCTGTTTTGTTCATCACTGAAACTGTTGAGTGTGGCACAGCACATGGCATACACAAAGGCACACAATACATACCTGTTGAATGGAGTGGGGAGAGATTGAATTTGCAAGCCTACAAGTTTCACCAGGATGAGAACCTGAAGACACCATGCAGAAGAAATCAGGAGGTGGTGATTAGAGCTGGTCTAGGGAGTGGGCAAGAGGCAGAGTAGAGCTCTTTGTGGTCTCAGGTACCCACCTGGCATCCACAGTGAAGTGAAGCCTTCCCCAGTTGAAGGGATGTGTACTGCTCAGGTCTCAAACAGAAAAGTCTCTAATTACCTAGCCATGCTGGCCTCAATGCATATACCTCCATCAGATAAGAGTGGCACCTTCGCAACTCACTTCCACCTAGAGATTCAAATTCAGATACGAGAGGGGAAAAAATTCCTTTTCAGGAAATTTCTCCAATAATCACTGTGGAAAACACACCAGGTTCTCTAGAACAGACAACAGGGCTCCAGGTGCTCCCCCATATCATGCCCTTCCTTCGCAGTGCAACTAGAATATCTTTCCTTCAGAAGCCATTTCTTTTTTTTTTTTTTTTTTTTTTTTTTGAGACGGAGTCTCACTGTGTCACCCAGGCTGGAGTGCAGTGGCGCGATCTCGGCTCACTGCAAGCTCCGCCTCCCGGGTTTACGCCATTCTCCTGCCTCAGCCTCCGAGTAGCTGGGACTACAGGCGCCCGCCACCACGCCCGGCTAGTTTTTTGTATTTTTAGTAGAGACGGGGTTTCACCATGTTAGCCAGGATGGTCTCGATCTCCTGACTTCGTGATCCACCCGCCTCGGCCTCCCAAAGTACTGGGATTACAGGCTTGAGCCACCGCGCCCGGCCTAGAAGCCATTTCATCCCAAATTTCCCCTCCTTCAGCTTGTAGAATAAAATAATGAAAAACTTGTACCTGGAGTTTTAGGCTTGAATCCTCTCAGAGCGTTTTCTATCTTCTGTCTTCAGGCAGGCAATTCTATTCATCTACTTCTCTGCCAAGAGTCTCAGACTGCATTAAATGATATCCTAATTCAACCTATGAGATCATAGTTCCTGAAGAAGAGCAAAAGTCCTTATTTTTACCCCAAATTCAACTATTGATTACATTTTCAGAAAACGCAGTAGCAAAAGAGTATGTAAGTGCTGAAGGGAAAAATAAGGAAATAATGTAACTAAAAAGCTACGTCTTTAAATTCTCTATCTTAATAATTAAGGGGCAGGGCGTGGTGGTCACACCTGTAATCCTAGCACTTTGGGAGGCCAAGGCAGGCAGATCACCTGAGGTCAGGAGTCAAGACCAGCCTGGTCAACATGGTGAAACCCCGTCTCTACTAAAACTACAAAAAATAGCTCGGTGTGAAGGTGGATGCCTGTAATCCCAGCTACTCGGGAGGCTGAGAAAAGAGAATCATTTGAATCCAGGAGGCAGAGGTTGCAATGAGCCAAGATCATGCCACTGCACTTCACCCTGGGCAACAGAGTGACTCTGGCTCCCAAAAATAGTAATAATAATAATAAAGAACAGGTGTTTGTTGGCCAGGCGCGGTGGTTCACACCTGTAATCCCAGTACTTTGGGAGGCTGAGGCAGGTGAATCATGAGGTCAGGAGTTCAAGACCAGCCTGGCCAACATGGGGAAAGCCCATCTCTACTAAAAATACAAAAAAGTAGCTGGGTGTAGTGGGGAGTGCCTGTAAACCCACCTACTCGGGAAGCTGAGGCAGGAGAAT